TTGAGAGATTCAGGAGAGTTTAATAGTGGTGGCCTATTTATAAAGTTAGATGTCGTCTTACAATCGGACTCAGTTTTATGACCATTAGGATTATGATGCGTTTGTAAGTTTGACGCTGGTGGTCTATAACCAGCTCTCCCTGCTTTCCGTTGGCATGGAATTCCATCTGCAAGAATCTTAATATCCTTGAATATCTGTTTTTTTCTCATCGAATTGGAGAAAGTTGGAAACTCGCTGGCGTCTACAGAGAAGTCAAATTTGAGCGAACTGGGTTAGTACATACTAAGGTGACTTCATTTTAATCTTGTGCACACACATGGTACATGTGTCATATTGCTGGCTCTAAGCAGACTAGGTTTAATATTTTTAAGGGTATGTGTCCGGTATATTAAACACAATTGTGCTGATAGATCTTATTCTTTCAAATATCTCTGAAGCAAAATGATCTAGGAAATTATTTATATCCTTCATTCTATCTGGAGTCACTGTGACGTAGGCGTTGATGATATACTTAAGCAGATTGAGAATTTTCATGTCAATCTGACACTTTCTTATACCATCCATATGGTTGTAGTTGTGATTGTCATCACTGTTTACCAATAAAGTCTTCAACATGTCTGGGATGGAGACTAATATAGGCTTGTCTGAGTCCGGATGAATGGAGTAGGTCGTCTCGTTGAAACTACGGAAATCGTTCGCTTTTGGTGTCAGATTACTTCGTTTTCTTACGTTTGGCTGTACGCCCAGAAGCAGGGGACTTCCTTTATATTTGTGGGACGATACGAAAGTGAAAAACTGAAGATGGATTGAAAAAAATGTAGGAAATAGAAATGGGTAAAATGCAGAGGGCTCAAGTCAATCAAGAAATCAAAACCTATGTTTTAACCAAGAGTGAATGGATCGTGAGAATTAGTGAAGGTTTCAAAAACAAGAGGAGAAAATGACAGTAAGATAGTAGTAGAGATGTAGTATGTATGTCAGTATATGTGTAGAGGCAAAACGGAACATAAAGGTGTACATTGTGCACATTCTAACATATATATTACACGGAAAAATAGCCTTCTATAATAAAGTAATTTTGAACTGTCGATAATCACTATCAAACAATCAAAGTGAGTACGGGGTGCAGAGAAAAGTAGTTTAAAAGATCATTACCATCTAAGATTATTATGATGCTTTATGACCAAACATATGAAACAGCTTTTTGGATAAAAATACTGACCAAAAACCATGAGAGACTCACCGAATTGTACAGGTAAGTTTGCAAATAAAATGAGTCATAGCATCGAAACACAATTTAAAAGATATTATATAAAATAGTGAGTATAGTGCTTTATCATGCACCATTATATATTTCTCTTAATATTAGGTAGAGGTCTGAATATATCCTGTAAATTCATAAATTACGTAGGTTATAGCACCCAAATACGATATAAGGAATAGAATGCAAATGTGAAATTCAATTCTTCGTCAAATATGATTATATGTAGTTTTAAAAATGACAGAGCATGGTTTGATCGTCGACTGTTGCTAATATAACGGTTTTCCGAATATTTTAATAGATATTTGACTACATCACTGTGATCAAAGTCATGTTTGATCTTTAGAAGGAATATTTTGATGTAGTGTTTGTTGTGTATGATGTCGGGTTTTACTGACACTCCTTTTGTTCTCATAGTGTTGCAAGGTTCACAAACACAAGTGTGTGAATGCGTCAGCTCATTTTTCTAAACTCTCTCAATGTATAATATTACACACATAGCAACGTCACAAAATAAGTGTAGACAATATTAACACTGGACACATACAGCTCAACCTGATTTGGTTTATTTTCTCGGAAATCAAAACAAAGTAGCAATAAACCAAATACCGTCAGTGTTCCTTTCTCACCGATAATATTGATGACCATTTTCGCTTGATCGCGTTCTATTCCATCTGTTAAGAAACATATATTGGTCAACGGAATGGCCATTATTTTTCTGCGGTTAACCGAGAAAACTGTGGGATTTAATTTGCCCTACATATATATACTACTAGAACTAAAAACGCGATACTGGTGACCCCAGAGTCCATGTGAAAGCTATAGTCAGAACAAGGACAACTTGGCTTTGAACTTTATCTGTTTCTAAACGTAAAAACAATTAGATTGTCATTAAGTGGAACGTACAAACATACCAACTAGTGTTGCATGTTTTACCGAAATGAACAAAAATTGAGTCACATCAATACAATGGGATAATAATATCCATACAACAGGGATAGTCTAGAGACACACGACCAGATTGACGTGGTGACCGCTTAAACAACGATTTGATTGGTTAGTTGTGGACATATCTGAAATTACTGGATGGCAGTGTGTAGAGGCAAACAATGTATGTGCTAAACTTTTCCATATTATACCATTTTTAAGCGTTAGTTTTCTGCGTTTACTTAACTGTATCATTCAGTTTCCATCTTCGCTGTACATTGTTTTATTTGAAGTTAGGCATTAAGTTTTCGTTTAACCTTTTGTATTAGGCTGCCATTAGGTCATATACAGTCTCCATAACCTTCACATCCGTTATTGAAGTACAGTCAATTGATAAACTCACGAAATGTGGCTCAATCAACAAGTAAGCCGAATTCCAATCTATGAACCGTGATTCTGTTCGTTATATGTGAGATATCTACCCAAAAATATTGGTTCAAATGTCACTGTGGCAGTTTACATAACGGACCTCCAATTTCTTATTTTCAGGGAGAAATTTCACAAGTGGTAAACTGTAGTGTGATAGAAACTAGAGGGTTTAAGATCAAAGTTACTAACACACCAAGTTCAGATTTTTAGAACTACAAATACATCCCAAACCTATAAAAACGGGCAAGATTCATCATCAATATTTGCAATTATTTAAGTACTTTTGGTCCTTTTTATTTTTTACTCTTGAGCTAAATAACGTTGGTTGTTTTCAGAGAATAAGAAATTCTCAACATTAGTTTAAAAAGACTAGGCATAAATGTCTGGTGATGGTCTGATGGTCTCCATAATCCGGTCGGTAGATGCAGCCAGTTAATCTACGACGTTGTTTTGGAATGAGACAAGGACTTTCTGCACCGTTTGGGGAAGCCTAGACAAGAAGAGCTGCCTAAACAGGCCTCATTAAGGGTCCGTTGATCAGTGAACTCACGCATACGTGGTAACGCTTCTGTTGCTGAGCCATGCTGAAGCTGAATGTTGTGAGAAGGTTGGTCCAAACTCTGTCGATCGGTCAGTCCTCCATGTTTGAGAATAACCTTCTTCGAAATGTCTTTAGGTTCAGAAACGTCACTATTAAACACACTGGGTGTGACGTACCCGTTAAAATCACACGGCAGTGCCTTGACTGCTACAAGGAACTGTGCATATGTGTTGGTCACGCTGTGTTCGTCGAAATCAACTTTTGCGTAGCTGAGCCAGGCTTTGATACTATTGGGCCAGAATGGCATGAGTTAAAAAACGTGAGGTGGAATAGTCTTAATCCTAAACAACTTAGGTACCTGCTCCGTCATAATGAAGACAGTATATATATAAACCGGCGAGAAAAATTTCCGAAAACATTAAAATAATGTCGTTACATGCAAAAGAAATGACTGAAAGATGTTATATAATGTCACAACATGGAATAGACTAACAGTCTATTGTTTGTGTACCGGATCAACTCGGGCTCAGAAATCATAAGTGAAAGAGATTAATGATATATTTAGAAAGCTATCGATATGTCGAGAAGCGTTTGATCTAAGCTGGCTAGCAGTTGTAAGAGATGCGTAACACCACACACTCACTCGTGATCTGGTGCAGATGCATGACCGGATGCCTTCAGCTAGGGCATGTCTAGTAAAACTGATTGGATCGGCATCAATGCCGAGGACATATAGAACTGTTTACTTACTTACTTACGCCTGTTACTCCCCATGGAGCATAGGCTGCAGACCAGAATTCTCATAAATTCTTTAACATCTTTGATCCTTGTACTCTGTTCAAATCTGAAAGACTATTATCGTTCCCATTTTTTAAAATAACTCAATGAACTTATCAGAATGGGTTTTGTGGAGAGTTTTAGAAATTTCACAGGTTGAAATCATGAGTCAGTTGGAGCTAGACCACCATTGAAAACCTGGAAGCACTGGACGGCCGTTTCGTCCTGGTATGGGACTCCTCAGCAGTGCGCATCCACGATCCCGCACCACGCGGGGCTCGAACCCAGGACCTACTGGTTTCGCGCGCGAGCACTTAACCACTAGACCACTGAGCCGGCATCCGACGGTGTTAATGTCTAACTTCAACCAATCCACGAAGTTGCGCCACCGTACACCATTGTCTTCAGTGAGTAGGTCCTGGGTTCGAGCCCCGCGTGGTGCGGGATCGTGGACGCGCACTGCTGAGGAGTCCCATACCAGGACGAAACGGCCGTCCAGTGCTTCCAGGTTTTCAATGGTGGTCTAGCTCCAACTGACTCATGATTTCAACCTGTGAAATTTCAATGAACTTAATTTCAAGTCTCCGTCGTGATGATTGCCATGAGTAATACTCCCATTGCGTTGTCACGAGAAGACGTATTCTAGGTACAGTAGTGCGATTCGTGCATGTCGTTTTTATTTCTTGCGTGTTTTTGAGTTATGGTGTAATAACCCTCCTGATTTATTGTAAATACCTTTAATAGGTCATGAAATACTCATACTCCATTTGTTTGTGATCTTGTAATCTTTCCTTTGGATTTCACTTTTAGCTACATATTGATGGATTTATTGAAGATACCTCTAGTCCTTTTCGTCGAACATCTAGTCTAACTCCTAAATCTTTGAGACTACAAATGCCAGTTTTCAAAACAACATATCCTGGGTGATTTTGACACTGAAGCTGTTTCCTACCACTGCAGTGGACTTCCGTTCATACTTATCCTTCAAACGGTTCGTAGTTCACCTATCATTTCTGACAATTATGCCTTATTGAACAGTTGATCGCAACGTACATCTCTTGAGTTACTGGGATTATGAAAATATGCAATACCAATATAAATCATTTTTATAAATAATTATATAGTCAAGCCTACAAAGAGTATATTCTCAATGACTACCAAAGCACATGGTAATGGTGAGCACACAGGTTCATTTTAACTACACCGTGGTACATTCGACTGGAAGTGATTCGGTGTGTAGTTACCTTACTTCGTTAGGTTGGATGCTTGAAAATGGGGGATTTTCAGAGCTTTAAGGTTAGGGACTTGTTTGTGCTGGTTTTAGGCTACTGATCATGTCATATCTTCACTATTCTCACCAGTAATTTATTATGCTCATGTTAACCTGAGTATTCACCTTAACGTCCAGCTTTGAAATGTTAATATTCACTTACATATACTATCTAAACACGCCTTTCCGACATTCTTGTTTTTAGTTCGAGAATTCCATGCCGGATTTATGTCCTGAAACACAGCTGAACTTTAGAAAGTTTCTTCAAGCTGCTGGGATTGAAAACATGTTGATTAAAGATGGCCGGAGAATATCAGATACCGAAGTACTAAATGAAATCAGGAAAGAGGTCGCTGTTTTGTCTATGAACGACGATGATGGGTAAATCAACATTTTCCAGGGTTTATTTGTCAGACGGACCTCGTCGCTGATTCTTGCGTGTATCAACGGTGACGATGAAGCTGTTAAACTTCTCATTCTTTCGGGCGAGTGCGATGTAAACGAGGTTGCACCTGATGGAGAAACTGCACTGACGTGTGCCATATCCTCGAATGCTGTGCGGATTGTGGAGATGTTGTTAAAACATGGGGTACATTCACATATTTGGTATTTTAATACTCAATTTGTAGTCTGATCCAAACTTTCGTGGTAAGAAAGTTGAGTGCACTCCATTGATGGAAGCTGCTAGTGTTGGTTATACTGATATTGTGAAGTTGCTGTTGGAACATGGAGCATGTGTTGGCCAAAAGTCGAACACAGGAAATACTGCACTACATTATGCTGCTACTTCCGGTCACTTGGAGTGTGTTTGTCTTTTACTACAGTACAATAGCCCAATGGAAGTTCAAAATGATACTGGTCATACACCTTTGATGGAAGCTACAAGTAACGGGCACGTAGACGTCGCTCGTTGCCTTATAAAGCATGGATGCGATATTAACACACATTCAGCGGAATTCAAAGAATCCGCACTAACTCTGGCAAGCTACAAAGTATGTGTACGGTATTCCTATTGAAATCTATCAGCAAAACTTTCCGTATAATTCGATCCTATGGACACTGGCTTATAGTAGCATCAGTGCACGTTTATTAGGTGTTAGGAAGTTAAGATCTAAAACAACTGTTAAGGGTTTAAATGCTGTCTTACGGTTCATGTAACGGACTGCGAGCATATTACTCTACAGTTTTTTAGTTTGTAAAAAGGACGGTGTAGTCCCGAGTACCATTTTTTATCCGTAGTCCTATTCCGTTTGTATCAAATAACACAGAATCATAACGCCTCATCTAATTTATAGACTTGTTTCGTGCGTTGAGTCAATTATGTTTCGTCTCAATTTTGGATAGGATTTACAGTTGGATAGCTACCGTCTGGGTGTCCCTCTCAACAGTCATTTTCCTATAAATGAAATATTTGTATTTGTAATCAATATGTTCCTGGCCATCAATTTTTCCTGGTGTTACCGCCTACTTATATCAGGGGATTGCGGTCTGGCAAATTTAGCTCATCATTACGTTCCATAATCAATTCCATCAAGTATAAGTGACGCGTGTTCTAAAACCACTACCTAGATTTAAAGAGTCGTAACTCATGGATGCATTAGCAAGACTGTTACGCCAAGTGTTTCCTATTTAAACAGTGTGAACTCCATATTTAAGCTGGTTGGAGTGTTGTTTTTAGCATAGTAACCCCATTTGTTCCCCGTTTCCTTGTCTGGTATATTCTTTGTATAAAGGTTCAGTCCATACTTTTAAACACCTGTCTTAGGCACTTAGCCATGCCCTCAAATATGACTTTATGTACTTGAGTTTTGGGGCAGAAATAGTACGATCGAACTTTATAACGTGGAGGTCAGTTTATCGCGTGAATCTACATTGCATCCATTTACAGTTCGCACAGATGGTTTACTGGATGTCGTTAAGGCATTTGTAAAGAACAAGAACTATTAAAAAGATGTAGTGTTACAAGTTTTGCTACTAATGCTGTTCACATCAAACACTCGAGAACTGAATAAGTAGATGTTTCCTTATCCTGGTAGTGCTTTTTTTCAAAGGGTCATGCGGAAATGGTCCGTTTCCTGTTGACTGCAGGAGCCGATCACGAACATCGTACTGATGAAATGCACACTGCTCTAATGGAAGCTGCAATGGAAGGTCATGTCGAAGTTGCTCGATTACTCCTTGCTCATGGCGCGAACGTGAACATACCACAAGATAGTTTCGAGTCCCCTCTAACTTTGGCCGCTTGTGGAGGCCATACTGAGCTTGCACATCTGTTAATTGGATATGGAGCAGATATTGAAGAGGTGAATGACGAGGGCTATACACCCTTAATGGAAGCTGCAAGAGAAGGTCATGAAGAAACTGTCGCTTTATTACTTGCAGTAGGTGAGTTGATGAGTATTTATTCTGTAAATTTTTAATAAAAAAATTCAGTACAACCTGCATTAATGTACTTTGTCTTGAATATTTGCGTCATTATCACTAATGATGCTAATTATATGTCAATTCTTTTCTTAACTGACCGACCTGCTGTTAGCATGTGTCGTGTGTTGTATTCCTGTCAAGTCTTTACACCTAACCAAACAGCGAATCCAAGAGAATTTTCTGTATTATGTATTTAATAGGGTTGTGTTATCCGTTCCCGTAGATTTTGTTATCCCATACTTATTCCTCAAATTCATCTCTTTTTTCTTAGAACCCTATTCTCTGTGTTTATTCCTCTTTATTCCCCTATCAACCTGGGTTTCATAGTAGTTCTTCATATCGCATTTTAATTCTTAAATAAAAACCACGAATATTTTGAATCGTATAATACGATAATACCAAATTTAGATCTTAAGATGCATATTAACATTTGAAATGTTATTTGGTTCAGCAAGCGACTATACGAAAGTGCTAATTAGGGCTCAGGTTATATTGTTTCTGGTTACTTTGCCTTCATATGAATATCTTGCGATCTGTTTAGGTGCTGAAGTTAACGCAAGAACGGAGGAAACCCAAGAAACTGCTCTCACGCTTGCAGCCTGTGGCGGATTCATAGAAGTCTGTGAAATGCTTTTAAATGCTGGTGCTGATATTGAAGTTGGCGGAGTTGGTTGTTCTACTCCTTTGATGGAAGCTGCTCAAGAGGGACATCTAGAACTTGTCCGGCGTTTGTTGGAGCGTGGAGCATTAGTGAATGCAGTGACCGCCACTGGAGACACGGCGCTTCATTATGCAGCTGAAAATGGGCATGTCAAAGTTTGCGAGAAGTTGCTTGACTGGGGAGCCGTTTTTGGAGCTATGACAGAAGGAGGACGAACTCCATTGATGAAGGCTGCAAGAACAGGTCATTTGGAAGTTGTCCAGTTATTTTTAGAGCGTGGAGTAGCGATTGACCAGCCTACCTCACAGAATGATGCCAATGCCTTGTCGTTAGCTTGTAGTGGCGGACATGCAAAGGTAGGTTATCTTTAGAGTAGTGTTCAGTACATTTGCTAAGATAAACGTTTCACTGGTTTTCTGAGTATGACAATCACTTTTATACATTAATCAGGCAAAATTGTTTGTTGGGATTTTAACCACTGCCTTATCTTAAGAACGTCTAATGCATTCAGGAAACTTAATCATTTTTAAACTCGCTTAACTTGTTATTTACTGACATTTCCTCCTATAGATGGTAGAGTTCCTTCTTCAACATGGTGCTGATCCTCAATATCAGTTAAGAGATGGTTCTACAATGCTAATCGAAGCTGCTCGTTCTGGAAATCCAGCAGTTCTGAGACTCATTTTAGACTATCCTAAATGTCTCAGTCAGCCGTCGTCCGTGCTTCCAAATGCTTCTGTTCAGCTTGTTGCGAATACATTGAACCAACATCAAACTCAACACCAATTTTCTCATGACCAGCGTTCTGCTTACCAATCACTCGTGAATGGCGTACCTACAATCGGCAATGTTATCATGCCACCACCCCCACCGCCTTTACCTATTTCTGTCTCCGGAATAACCAACATGGATATGTGCCTTGACCCATCTCATTCACATATGCACTCACAAGGTCATTCGCATTCCTGTCATTCACACCAACAACTTTCGTTTCAGGCTCCTTCCAGTCTTTCTACGTCAACTAACTCTGTTCAGCCCACAACTCATATAAATGCGGCACTGGCCAACGCATATGCTGTTGGATGGGCAGCCGGGGCAGCTGCTTTAGTTCACCAACAACAGCAGCAGCATACAATAAACTCAGCTATTACCAGTTCAGGTATTTTTTACATGCTTAAGCTATCAGTATAATGACTAACTAATGATCAGTTTTATTTTTATGTACTGGATGTTCTTGCTTTTAGACAAACTGTCTTTGTGTAGCGTAAAATCTTGGGTAATAAAAGTTCCTCTTGGGTGAAATTTTAATCCCAATCCGGCAAAAAAGATAAATTAATAATACTGCACTCTAATTTGGTTGTTTGTTATCTAGTGAAAACATTTTGTGCCTAGTGCTTAAATTGCGTAAATCGTATTTGACTACTAATGTGCAATCAGTAGCAATATTAGTATCACTAAATTCCAATCGGGGCTGAGAGATTAATAAGCAACGTGGAACATGCTCTGGTTAATGCAAAAAGCAATATACAGGTTGGTTTTTGTAGTCACTGTAGATATGCATTCGCTCATCAAAACTTTTCCTGAAAAGATAACCGTAAAACAAACCTAAAGTAGAAAAAAACCCACCCATTCCCCTTTTCTATATTGACATCTATAGCATGGATGTGTTTGCGTTTCATTGTTTCCCACTAGATTTTTTGTTAGTGAATACAAGGGGATTTCACAGTTAAATTAATTGTATCATTAGTCGGGGACCTTGCATTTTATGTTAATATACACTCACAATAGGGCTTGTTATGTTCACATATCTTTAGTTACCCTTTGTCTAACTCCGATTTGTTCGGATCACTAATAATGTAGACAAAATCCTACTTACTTCGTATATGTTCTGTTGAATTAACGTGCTTAGAACAACGGTATATCCATAGTCGATATGTGAGTGTTGCTGATGTCTGTATTTCATAAATTCATTTCGGTAACCAGGCAGCTAAAGATGCAATGATTGTATAAGCCATTGGAGCTCAACAGCACACCGACTTTGAGAATAATAAGGCGACTCTTTTTTACAAATCATCTAATAAATACAGGAGATGGACAGATACATTTGTACTGGTGTACAGACATTTGTAAAATGTGATCAAAGCTACAAGTATTTGAGAAGGACAAATATATGGGTGACCGTAAAAAGAAAGATTGGAATAATGCATCTGTCCGAAAGTTATATTAAATCACGCAGGTGTGTCACAATACTAATTGCTACACACGCACCATAAAGTGACATTCTAATCAAGTTTCAAGTGAGTATACAAAGTACATTTCCCTCTTAACAGACCATTAGTTGAAACTTATTTTCGTGTAAAAAAGATGGCCTACAAGCTTGTAAACTATTTACTCGCAATCATAATCCGCTAAAACCAAACTTTTAATTCCATCTTATTTAATTCTTGATTATGGGTAAGTTATGTTGTGGTTTAATACTTTGAGGCATTTTCCATCATGAATTCGGTCTTATGTTAATATTAATTAGGTTGATCTTTTTGTAGTATGTTTAAATGTGATAAATCTCCAGTGATCTTTGTTAACGGTTTTGCTAATAGTTGGCATTATACTATAGATTGCATATATCTGATTAATTGCACTTGATAAGTGCTTGCATCCTATTAAAAAGCATAACTCCCACAATAAAAAAACGCTATCCCTTAAACTTGAGTCAAGTTTTTCCACGTTTAACTAACGAATTTCTCAGATAAACAGATGTGTCTCTATCGAATAATCATCTAATAATCCTCAAGGATTGTTAATGTTCTAAACAGTTAAGGTTGTATATTAAGCTTAGAGCTTTATTAGCTCAACCATCTACCATTTAGTTACTGATCGCATAATCATAATCCAGATGAATGTATTTGGCTAACTCACTGACTTTTCGTAAACTCATAAGCTTCTTATATTCACTGCTACTCTCATATGTTGATTGACTTACAGTGGATGCACCTTTGGTTATGTGTCCTCCAGTCAGCGCTATACTTTCACACACACATACTTCTGGACCATTGCATGATCAGATTTTGTTGACAAACAACAATACATTCGAGCTTCTTCCTGGAACTTCTTTATCAACAAATGGATCATGTACTACATTACCTTCAAACTGTTCGATTATGGCTCACAATGCGCATTTAAATTTTCAAACTACTTCTGTCACTGCTGCTGTCGATTCAGTTACCGGGATAACTAGTGTTCAAACTGTGTTAACTCAGGCAACACTAGGTGCTAGTGGAACGGGACCATCATCTAGTACAACTAATAGTATTGGTAGCATCAGTGGAGGTAGTTCAACCAGCAGTGGAAGCAGTGCTTCATCCATGGTTGCTGGATCTTCAATTGACCTTACAGATGACTTTAGTGCTGGTCTACTGGTGAGCTTTCCAATTTAATATTCAACATATTTTTCTTATCTGAGTTAAAACCACTTTTACTATGGTGACAGTTCTGTAGTTAAACTCAGGCAATTTTTTAATGTTTATACTAGTTTTGGATTTGTCAACATTCATTTACTTTCTTTTATTCAAGGCACTTTTTCAAGAGCTGATGCCTGATTTGAAAGCGGATAAAGATGAATTGATCAAACGATTTGAAGCTGTCATGTGTCCCTTCAGCACACTTCGTGCTGCTCGTACTGCTATTAGTCAACGAAATGGAACCAATCTGGATTCTCCAACCGCAATCGCTATGAGTACTAATGCTGCCGTCTTGGCTCTTAGCAAGTTAATTGATCAACAATCACAGTGCCGTGCTCATTCTTCGTATCCTGGAAATGGTTGTGAAGTACTGGAACAACACCTTTCACCTAGATGTATTCATACATCTTCAGCTGATGCCGTCTTGTCTAAAACCACCCAGTGGACAGGTCTGCTTTCGACTTCCTGTGATACACAGTTTCCGGAACCAATTTCTTTTTCCACTGAGTGTGGCCCAACACTTAGCAAAGTACCTGATGATCAACCAGACCTCACTGACTCCAACGATCATAACTTTAGTGCCGCTGCAAATGTAACACCGGTTATGTCTTCTTGCCATTCATCATGCTCCGCGTTATCAACATCAGAATGTTCAATGTCTTCTGTCCATAGTGCCAACTTCTTATGCCGTGCCAATAAAACAACTTCAACATCCGTCGAGTCTATTTTACCTGCACTAAATTCTTACGACTATGGATTGGATAAAACCTCTGACGTATTAGGACCTTGCATTGATTCCTCGTATTTAAGCAATCTCGTGGATTCTGTCGGTCTTGCAACAACTCAAGCTGTCATTCATGAAGCTGGTTTAAACCATGATATACTTACATGTTATCGTCATTTTCACGTGAGTACGGTTTTTATCTACTATACATTAGGCAAACTCCTTAGTACAGTTAGAATATTAGAGCAGCCATCATATAACTATTTGGTTTTGTTCATTTTACAGGTATTCTTGGTTTTCAGTTCACACATTAGTGTTCACAGGGTTAATTTATAGCCATATTTACCCTTAATTACTTACGCCTGTTGTCCCTTCTGGGGGAGCATAGGCCATCCACCAGCACTCTCCATTCAACCTTATCTTGGGCATTTCTTTCCAGTTCTTTCCATTTGCTATTCATTCTTTTCATGTCTGCTCCCAGTTCCCGACTCAATGTGTTCTTTAGTCTTCCTCTTTTCTGTTTCCATTCAGTATTTAGAGCTAGTGCTTGCCTCGTGATGCAGTTTGTTGATTTCCACAATTTATGTCTTGTCCATCTCCATAGTCTTTTCCTAGTTTCCTCCTCAGCTAGAAGCTGGTTTGTTCTCTTCCACAGCAGGCTGTTGCTAATGGTATCCGGCTGGCGGATATTGAATGTCTTGCGTAGATAAATGTTTATAAATACTTGTATCTTTTGATGATGGTTGTGATAATTCTCCAAGTTCCAGCTCCGCACAGCAGAACTTTCTTGATGTTCGTATTGAAGATTCTTACTTTGATATTAGTAGACAGTTGCTTTGAATTCCATATATCCTTCAGTTGTAGTAATAGAGCCCTTGCTTTACATATCCTTACCTTTACGTCTGCATCGGATCCTCCTTGTTCATCGATGATTCTTTCCAGATACGTGAATGATTCCACATCTTCCAGAGCTTCTCCATCAAGTATGATTTGGTTGGTGTTCTCTGGGTTGTATTTGAATATCTTGCTGTTTCCTTTGTGTATGTTGAGGCTACTGATACGGTGGCTGTTGCTACACTAGTTGTCCTCATCTTTATTTATTTATTTTAACACATAGATATTGGTACAAGGAGGCACCAAATACATATGCGCCACACAAATCTCATTCGATATGCGTGAGGGCTGTGATACTGCCAGGGTGCCCAAACCGAAGCAGGTGGTTTCCTTAAGGGGTCACTCCTCGAGCCTTCGACCTGAAGGTCTGATCCACAAGACAGTGGAGCATCGTAAGGAGATGCAGTCCCATGGTAGCCGGTGACCGGAAATTGGTTCATACGCCATTTGTTCCCTCAGGATATTGGAGCCCATGTGCACTATTTGTTTGGAATCCGGTTAAAGCGCTGGACATTCGCTTTTCATCCTCTCATTTTCGTAGACAACACCCCCGCCACGAGAAGGCAGTGAGTAGCACTTCCCTGGCAAAAGCTATATACTCACGGCCATGTGAGAGCGTTTCGAGAGGGAGAGCGGACTCTCCCCACTCTCGGCCGTACCAGGGCATTTGGGGGCAAACATTTGTTCGTGTGTATGGCATAGAATTTCTTCAAAATTCATTCTCCAGACCGACAAAATTAACTTGATTCTGCATCACCATTTCTCATTATCGCTTCCTGATTCTTTGTTATAAATAGAATACTAATCAATAGATGAGCTCAATGATACGATGTTGTTAAGTGGTGGGGGCTTACCAGATTGTATTATTGACTTAAGCTTGCCAGTGATTTAAAATCAAAACAAGAACACTAACCAGATGCATTAGTTTTTTGTGTAATAAAATAACGCGCTTACATAGAGGACAACACAAAATAAACGTTATGAAATGTTATAGGCGATTGAAGCAAATAAGCTTGTAAGTCACTGATTCCCCAATCAATCAAAAAATCGCTGTTAGGCCTAATTTTCGGTCGTCCTATCAACTCCCCCATAAAATGATTTGAGACCCTTCTTTGGCAACACTAATAAGACAATGATACCTTTGACTTGTTTAACGAATTCTTCAGTTTTCGTGGAAGTTATATCCTTTTTCCTTCTACGGACTACAACCGTCTCATTGTCATTAAGTGTAAAATAGTTACTTCCCCCATTCTTTTACAATGTACATTTATCGTACAATTTGATTCATAACTATGAGAGCATCTGATGTGCTATTGTGCTATAGTTGAAAACCACAATGGTTTTTGTGAGATTGTTTGGTGCTTTGTGGGGGTTGGTTTTTCGTAGACTTCATAGACTCAGCTGAATATCATGTAACCAAAATTTGAGCCTCTGAGCTTGAAGTCGAGGAATGTTTTGAAAATTCTGATCGCAATAATACAGCTGAATTCGAATTGCCAGTGACTTCAAGATGCTCTATCGACTTTGTTGTATTATTTTTCCCACCAATGTATTGTTGCGTGAACTTAAATTTTCATGTACAATCCATACTTCCTATTTAAACTGTTTTCGATTTTCAGTTAGTAATGTCTAAGTTGTGTTCAGATTTCCACTCATTTAGAAGCAATTTAATAAGTCCTATCTGCGACTATATCATAAATAATGAGTTCGACTAATTCATAACTACAGTACGTTATACAGGTAAAACGCATCTCAAGTGAACTCCCGATTACTTTCTAGTAACTTCATTACTATTAGGGCAAACATTCGTTCGTAGTCTGTGATTTATCACTGAATTTATCGTCGTATATGTGGAATATTAACCGTTCAATTTTTATTTTCAGCATCCTGGATCACATTTTGCTTGTGCGTTTGATGCTACAGCCACGACAGCTTCAGTAGCGAATTTGAGTCATATGGGTGTTCATAACAATATGCATCATCACCATCATCATCATCATCATTCTCTGAATGTATCAACTTGCGGAGATAATCTAATCGGTTCTAACAATTTACTTCATGTCCCACAACAGTCGTCCGCTATTTCCATCGATAGTTTAATGGTAAATCAAGCGGGAACGATCGCTTACAATCCCTCAGCAATGGCAGGATACCAACATGTCGCACACCCAACATTGTTACCAGTAAGTGGAAGTAGAGTTCTGCCAGTAGGACCCCAGTCTATCCTATCATCTGGAAGTGCTTCTATACCGAACCATGGTTTGTCACCCAATGACATGGCTGCAGTTGCTTCTAACAACTTGTCTATGATGGGAGATACAATATCTCCCTTAAATGTACCATCTTTAATTGATGTTAATGCTTGTATTGAATCCAGTATGGAGACAGCTCTAACTTTGGCGTGTAGTGGGGGATTTGTTGATCTTGTTCGTCTGTTGTTGGAACGTGGAGCTGACAAAGAACATCGTGACAAAAAATCACATACACCACTCCATACTGCTGTGTGTGCCAATCAGCGCTCTGTCGTCTCATTGCTGCTTGATTATGGCGCAGACATTGAGGCACAAGTGGATCGCACAAAAGATACGGCTCTGTCAATAGCGTGTTCTCATGGAAAATTAGAGGTCAGTTTTCGATCATAAACTTATGACATTCATTCCTATCTATTAATCTAAACCCCTCTTCGTGCTTAATTATTTAGCCTTCGATCTGATATACCTTATCATTTTAATGTTAATTACAGTAAGAAATTATACTTGCTAGTAACCATAAGCTGGTCACCATAGATTACGAGAATATCCAGTAATGCCAGGCGTTTTGTTACGTACACAACACCTGGATAGTCGCTTACACTGCTGCTCATTGCTTATCTGAGGTTTTTCTGTTTAAATCTTTTTGAAATCTTGCTTCTGTAAAGCTCAGTGTACTGAGAAGTATTTGGATAATGACTAAAACAAACAAAATGTTTGCTTTACGTTGTATTTTGATCCTGTGTTACTTTGTAGATCGTCGAAGAACTACTGAACCGTGGTGCCAACAAAGAACATCGGAATATATCTGATTACACTCCGCTGAGTTTGGCTGCGTCGGGAGGATATGTTGAGGTTATACAATTGCTTCTACGTCATGGTGCAGAAATAAATTCGAGAACCGGTTCAAAGCTTGGAATCTCTCCCCTTATGTTAGCTTCTATGAATGGACATACTGCAGCTGTTCGTTTGTTACTTGAACATGGCTCGGATATAAACGCACACATTGAAACTAACCGCAATACTGCTTTGACCTTAGCATGCTTTCAAGGTCGTTACGAAGTTGTACAACTTTTGGTCGAACGCAAGGCCAATATTGAACATCGTGCGAAAACTGGTCTTACTCCTCTAATGGAAGCTGCCTCTGGTGATTATGTAGAAGTTGGGAGAATCCTGTTAGATCATGGGGCTGATGTCAATGCGTCACCCGTACCAAGTTCCAGAGACACAGCTCTGACCATTGCAGCCGATAAAGGCAATGCGAAATTCGTCAACTTGCTCTTGGAAAAGTGGGTTTAACACATTTTTCTTAGTTAATTCCTTACTTAAAAACTATGTAGCTTAGTGCTATATTACAGCCACTGTCAACAATTTATCAAAATAGCTACTTGTTAAGGAAGCTAGTTGACTAGACATTTCAGTCCGATTCTACCAAGTGAACGTGTATTTTTAAATAAATTGATTACGGTAATAAAACTCAGAAATGTTGTGAATCGTCCTAAATTTTCCTACTACCACCAGCCAACTACTGACAAATTTAAGTAGTATATTGTTCTCTTTATTTGCAGAGGTGGAGTTGTTGAAGCACGAAATAAAAAAGGTGCCACCCCACTATGGTTAGCTTCAAATGGTAAGTTACCCCTATCATAAATTTATTTTAAAAATCTTTCTTCAACCACCCGCAGATTTATTTCGTGTGTGCGTTTTTATGTTCATATTTGTTTTCCATATATTATCGCTATTTGTTTGTTAGGTGGTCACCTTGAGGTCGTTCAAAGTCTTATCCAGTACAATGCAGATGTGAATAGCCAAGACAATAGAAAAGTCAGTTGTTTAATGGCAGCTTTTCGCAAAGGTCACATTAATGTGGTGCGCTTGTTAGTTCAATATGTAACTCAGTTCCCATCTGATAAGGATTGTATTAGACATATTAAAACTGCAGTAACGGACAAGGTGAGTTTTAAAGTTGTTACTTTTGAAGTTCATTCACTTTCACATGTAATCTTATTGGATATCTAAATCAACCATTTTATACAAATTATATTCTGTTTCAATTTAACATGCATTGATTTGTATTTATCAGTTTTTTTGTTACAATCTGAGTAATTCTTAGGTATATTACTTCGATAGGCTTTTGCTAGTTATTGATCATCTAACTATTATTTGTTGCATATACTATATAGCTGACTACCTCTCATGTAATTAAAAAAAAAACAAATTCATTGTATTGATTTTCGGCAGTTAACAACCCGACTAATTAACTACATGTACAGTACATCTCTAATGCTCCGCTTTGTTGAAAATGTATAGTGGACTCAACAGTTGTGTTAATAAATAGTACTTGTAGGCAAACATTTTGTCATATATCACTGATCCTCGCCGCCTACATTATTCTATCTTGTATTATCCTATCAAGATTGGTCGACCTTGTGTGTCTATATTTTAATCAGACATGTGATGATGTATTTTTCTCACTCATTTTTATTAGCCAAAGTTTTATCCTTGTCAATGTTAATTAAAGACCTAGAGATCTGTCTGTTTTGGTCTCATCATCACGTGCTCTAGCCCCATGTTACTATTGGCTAACATGTCTGCCAATAACATACATCTGCTTTCTAGGCGAATCAGATTTAAGCCATTGTTTACTCGCGCAACTTGTGCAGATTTGCCTGCCTGAATGCTATTGGATTATGATATATCGTCTTTTAGTGAGACCTCAGCTCAACTTTTCAAACACTTTCTTAGTATTTGCAGGTCATTACGTTGGCATGCGTTTAACAACGTCACTGCATTGTTTTCTCATACCCTAGCAGCATGACACATTATCTTTACCTAACCAAGTATAATTCCACCAATGTGATAGCAAGTACGCGTTTCGAAATTGCAGCGCAAAATCCATCATCATATTCACTAAGGCGCTGGCAACCTCATGCGTTAACCAACACTTCCCATCCTCCGCCTAATCATGTTGCTCCTCTGACTTTGTGTGATGAAAATCCTATATCAGCTAGCTTCCAATCCCCTCAAAACTCACCCGACTTGGATTTATTACTTACTAATTTGTCCTGTACATTCTCAAAACAAAACCTGTCCATATCGAATGAGGATTATTGTAGTAGTACACATGATGATGAGAGTTTCGTTTTGGAGGATGATGTCGCATCTGTTCATAGTACGGATAGGATTTCTTCGTCTAGTGGATGTTCTGTTAGCTTTGATTCATTTTCATCTGGGAACTGTTCATTTTGTAATCCGGTAAGAAATTTCATAATTTTGGCTATCATAATTTTAATTGGGGTTTACGTATAAATACTGCTTGTAGCTGTTTGCTTTTAGTATAATCATCACCAAATTTTAAATGCTTTTATTATTATATTTATATAGATGATTTTTGAGTAAATGTCCAACTTAAAATTTTCAATGACGGTATAACATCAGCTAGAAAAAATTAAGTAGATATTTCGTCATAGTTAAGGAATTTTCACTATCCTGCTATCCTAGGCAGTATTGAACTATAAACTTTCGCTTCTTACAACATAGATGGTATCCTACAATTCTTAGATATGGGTAACCACAAAATCCATCTTGGAACATTTCGCAATTGAAAGTACGTGAAATTGTTTTTATTCCCAATACTGCTGATGTAAGTAACATTGTAAATTGTTTCAGTAAAATCAAACATTCAAAAGACTTGCTTTATAGTTTTTTTTTATTTATCATGTATATGAACATGCGTTATTGTGTGTATTGACCAAAGTTTAGTGGTATTGAACTTTGTTCCTTATTTTCATACACTAATAATGGCAGGGTAAATAATAATGTTGTTTTCACTACCTTTTAGGTTATTGTGATCTCAAGAGCCTACATTTTGATATGAAGGAACTAAAACATTTCTGTTTTTTAAGATCGAGTTCTTTATTCACTACTCATCTTGTATTCTACTTATGCTTGTTCGGATTGCCTGTATGAAGATTCCCTATATATTTTAATATGTATATGAAGTAACGGTATATCATATTTCCTGTAATGGCACTCAAATAAGCATATTACCTTCATATTGTATTTCCTCATTTTCTAATGATGTTTTTTAGTACGTCTTATGTTGCGAAAGTATGTTATTCGCCAGTCTGGTGATTTCGCTAATCTTTCGATGATGCATTTTTTTGATAGATGTATCTTTATACAAGTAAGCAACATGGCAGTTCATTACTCACTTCCAGATTTTTTCATACCGCGAAGTATGTCTTGTATGTTTTATGAATTTTTATTAAAACATCGATTAGCATAACCAATAATCTCGATTCTGCTTTCTTTAAAAAAACTCAGGAGCTGGCTAAACGCTGTCAACAGTGCAGGGAAATTATTATAGCTGCTAAAGAAAAACAAGAAGGTGAGGCGAAGAAGAATGCTGATTGCCTTTTGGAACAAATTGAACAGGAAGAAGAGGAACGAGCTAATCGAGAAGCTATGCAAGCTCGAAAACGAGAAAGGAAACGCATGAAGCGTAAAGCAAAGCAAGAAAAAGAACGCCAAGTTAAAGGCATAAATCAAACACATACAGATTGTAATGTCGATGCGTCATCTCGAAGTAATACAACTGCTGAAACCAATGAAAATAAACGTACTAATCAGGATCGTGATGAACAGTTTAGGTGAGTCTTAATAAATATTTTTTACGTCTTTTATGTTCACAGCTTTTGTAAGCATTTACGCTAGGACCATGTATTTACCATCAATTCTGTTCGTAGTTACGTTTTCTTCTAAACATATACTACATATATAGGGTTTTAAACGTTTAAAGTTACATTACTTCGTTTTTCTATCGGTTTAGAACCAAAGTTTTCTCAACATTCACCAAAACAGTGATGTAGTTAATTAAAAATTTACTCAATCAAATTAATTTTGTTCATAGCCTTTCTCTGTGCTATTTCATTATGTAAACTGCATTTTCAAGCAGCAATATTCAAGTTCCCCTTAATTATGCATCATTAAACTACTATGATTGTGCGTAAAACCTGGTAAGTACCTACATACGTCACTTCAAGTTCCCATACCTAATGAGCATAGGGAGATGTTGTCAGACCGAATCTCAGAAAGTAGGGGTAGTAACAATATTAGTGGGGATAAAAATTTGGACATCGAAGAGTATATAAATCATGGTTAAGTCCAATTGTTAGCGACTTCATGAACTGATGCCATGTTTCGGTTTGACCTCACCTAGTTTTCTTCCAGCCTTTCCTACACCAGAAAACATCTCCCGTTGAGGTGGGCAGTGATCAGGCATATGTAACATATGTTCCAATCACCTCAGTTGATGAACAATCACTATCTCATCAATTGGTTTGCAATTTTTACTTATTGCCCTATTCCTAACTCAGGCATTACTTATCCAGTGGTCCCAGAGCACATGACAATGCTTCGTAGACCCCTATGATAGAATACTAGTAGGCTACGAGTATCCTTAATAGCTATGTCTGACACCCATAATGTAGAATGGGACAAACAGCTGCCCAGTAAATTCGTCCCTTGGTTGACAGACGGATATCTTGCCTTCGCTACAAGTAATACAAGTTAGTAAATGCTAGGTTAGTCTTCTAAATCCATGATGAGATTCCTTCACACCCCAAACTATCAGGACTGATGCGACTTCTAGGATAAGTTAAGTTTTACATTTAGAGGGAGAGAACCGCATCTCAAATGTGCTTGCATTGTTGCTTGAGGTGATCAGAAGACTATTTTTCGGCGTCTTTATGAAACAAACTATTTCGCCTATGTATTCTAAGTTAATAAGTGAATCTCGTGGTAGAAAATCAATCCCTGAAAAGACAAACGAGCAAAGTGCTATCTCTAAAAGCGTGTCTATGACAAAGTTAAATAAAGAGAAAGCAGACAACCTTGACGAACACCTGTTGAAGTAGCCAATTCCAACGACAGTCCTCCATAAGCTCTAATTTGACCAGTAGTGTTTGAGTAGAGAGTTTGTACAAGGTTAATGTACTTCTCTGGTACGCCTTTCAACGGCAGACATTATCAGAGAACTTCACAATCAGCAGAGTGGAACACTGCCTTAATGTCAAGGAATGCAACTGTAGTCGGACATCGAAAAGTATGTCCATGTTCCAGAATCTGCCGAAGGCTGAATATTTGGTATATTGATCCACGTCCAACTTCACTAATATTTGGATAAATTACAGCAATTTCCCATTTAGATTGCTTGGAAATAATGGGTAACTAAAGTATGGCTGAAGGTTAGTTAAATTGTCCCCTAGTGTTCTGCCCACTGATTCAATCCCCTTGGTTGAGAGTAAATAAAATCCGCATCTTTTTCCGTGATCGTATGACAAGTAGCCGGATTCTTAAGATCTGTTTCCTTGATAAGTTAGAACAGTTGTTGACTGTTACCTGTCACCTCTACTTTTTCCATCTCTTTTGCTTTGGCCACTCACCGCTGCTCATCGTGTACAACATTTCACCAGAGATCCGTATATGCTAGTTATTATGGTTTATTATTCATTTGTGTTTATGATTTAAGAACAGATGCAGCTATACGCTGTTTTTTTATGTGCAGAGATTCTGTTTATTTACCAATATGTGCACGAATGCATGAATAACAGTATGGTTCACTTCTTACCATATCTAAGCTAGTAGCAATTGAATGTTTCTGTCTAATCAAAATTTTTACGGATTATTGATAAACAACCAGTTCCTCCCTTTTTGCTGATTTTATTAAATGGTTCGAAATCATGTATATGGTGTCTAAGACTAGTGTGAATGAAAACGCTATTTAGCACATTAAGATTGTCTAAGTAGCACATCCATTTTCAAATGTGTACAAGACTATGTTTAATGGTCCTCTCCAAAAAACTTTGTTCATCTTCATTTGTGGTGAATATTATGTGCAATGCTTTTATGCGCACGATTATTTCATCGACTTCAACTTCCGTTTATCAGTTAATTCCATTTCCATGTTTTATATAAAAATATGTATGGCAGCATCTTCGGAGTAGCATCCTTCATCCTAAACAATTCGTTTGGTAAAATTCGATGTTTTACACTTGTTTTCCTTCTCTAGGGATTAATATTTATCTGTATTTGGACTGTTTTTATTGTATGGTATTACCACAATTGTTAGCATTGTTTCTGTTTATTCTCTTCAGTAGCTCTTGGTCTAGCAGTCCTGTTTAAATTCTATTTATGGTCGTTTTTTGTTAAAACGTTTTATACCCCGTTGTCGCTGATATACTGTCTTCACCAGATATAAAGTTAATGTGCTGATGGTACCATTATTTTTACGTTATCTTTCATAGTCGGTGGGGCTAAAGTAGAGAAACAACTTTGAGCGATTCAAAAAAGATCTCGATAAATATCAATTGCTTATCCAGTTCTGAATGGAGTTAGAAATCAAGATTAGCAATTAGGGTTAGGGGTCAGGATTAGAAATTAGAGTTAGTTTTCGTCACGAACTGATATCAACTATCATGTAAAAATGTTCTGTAGCTTATTGATGGAGAAATTCCACACAAAATTCATGAAGCGGTACCTTGTGTTTGATTGGTTCGCTGCTATCCTTTGGTTCCATCGTATATTTTTATTCTTAATCCTGTTTACGAAGCTTCTGTGTATGTCATCTTATATGCAACTACTGGTATAGCTAACCTTGAAAATTTAAAATCCATCAATGATACTAGAGTACTCTCTGAGCCTTTGTAAAGTTAATGTCTTTTCATGCATGAACATTCAAGTTTTTAATCAGCGAGATTTGTTACACTTTCAATCCCAAACAAATGAATTTGAGTGTGACATTCCAGAGATTCTTTTTAAGCTTAAACCACCATTATTGGATAGATAGGGTGAAGTCTTTGTATGATTGTAAAAATACATGAACAGTTGATCTTTGTTTCATTTAGATAACATTTTATGCGAATCCAAATGTTGAGCAACTATCCGTAACTATTCGAGGACGTTATGTTATGGTCCTTTAGATTCAGATGGTTAAATACATCGCCATGTCGGCAAATTATTGCTTAACCATGAAACCCGTAAAACCTTTCAACTACAACTTGGTGTATCAAGTTGTATGTTTTGGTTTCAACTTGGCGGAATTCTAAGTTTTGTATCAACTTTATTTATAAATTGGCATTTTTTCTGCTTTAGCACTGCAATGCTATTTATTTGTTTATTATTATTTGTTTTTCAGAGTTGAACATAGTCCAACACTGTCACGTGTCCTACAACATGCCCAAGAATCCTCACTATGTAACCAACTGTCAGATGCTATAATTTATGATGTAGATGACAAGCAATGTTCTGCCTTTCGTAATCCCTCTGATTCACTTGTTACTGTTGTACCAATGTCACCAGAGTCTACTAAACTTAATCAACAGATTGTAAAAGATGTACATCTTAATTCTGATGCTTCCATAACTAATGTTGAAAAATCCAATGTTCAACACGATTCTGATTCTGTTGATAACAGTTTTTGTTCACAAGAAGCTGAATCGAATGCTGCGGCTGTAACAGAAGCCAAACGTGAAAAACATCGAAACAAGAAACAAAGCCAACGAGCAGCAAAACGTGCAGCTGCCGAAAACAATACTGCTTTCGATTTGGATAAAGTCAGTAAATCACCCAGCCCAGAAATTCAGGACCCTATTAATTCCTCAATCTCTCCTTGTTACGCTCTTTCTCCAAGTGGAGATAGTGAAAACTGGAACTTGCTCATCGAGTCCCAAAGTGCTCATTTTGGTCAGTATTTTAATATGGGCAAAAGTTCGAATGTTGTCAGTGATTCAAATACATGGACTGTAGTCGTACCATCTAACAGTACGCGATCTCAACGCACTACAGTGAGTACACACGTTTCTTCGCGTGTAAGTAATGAGATGGCTGATTGGAAGACTACCAACTCTAGCAACAGTTCTTATAAACGTCGACTTTCAATTCCTGTTTCAAGGCATGATATTGGGAAAGTCATAGGTCAGGGTGGGGCAGTTGTTAGTGCCCTAAGAAATATGAGTGGGATTCAAATAGATATCGAAAGTGCGCGAAGTGATGAAGTAACAGAGCGTATGGTCTATTTGAAAGGTCCCAGCGAAGCTGTCCAGCGAACTTATGAGACGATTCAGGGACTTCTCGACGGTTCAATTGCTGGCAATGATGTCCTACTAATGTATCACGCTTTAAAAAAGTCTTCTACTCTACCATCAAGCATGTCGCTTTCTGGTACTGCTTTAGGCTCTCTTACTTCTAGGTTGAATGGTGCAACTAGTGTGACAGTCCAGAATACAATTAAAAGCGGGTTGTCTAGTGTTAAGGTTATCAACCCAAGTAACAGAACTCCTCGTAGAACTGGGAAATCTGTAACTAATCCCGTAGCTGCAAATACCACTCGATCTACCTCAACTCAACCAACTCCGCTTCCCGTAGTCCCAAAACCCACAAAAACACCCACAATATCCATCCCTAATAACAGTAGCAATAGCACGTTTTCAAGTACAACAGCTACTTTGATTCCTCTGATATCTTCCGGTCTGAAGACAACTTCTGGATCAACGAGTTGGAGTTCTAAAGTCTCAAATACCAGCTCTTCAAAGGGTAATTTCGCTTCCGTTGCTGCGGCAGGAATAAGTACTCATTCATCGCGCCTCGTTAAGCCAGCAGACAACCCGATAGTAAAAAGTGTTCGCAGTCAGTCAAAAACTACCGTTCAAAACTTAATGACTGCACCGGCTCCAGCTTTGTCATTACCAACAACAACTCCTGTTTCGTTACTATCTCTCAATTTATCTCCGTTTCCATCGAGTAGTCAAATGTTTCCAGATTTTATTCCATCGCTTTCTAATGTCGGCGATTTCTGTACTGATTCTTTAGATGAAGTTAGCTTTCCACCCTTGAATCCTTCTAAATCCACCAAAGTTACTCAATCGAGAACAGCCACGACAACAACAATACCGGCAGTAACTGTGTCAAATATGAGGAATCCGTCATGTTTATCTAACACACATGTTTCCTCTTCGTCTGTAAATTGCCCCGTCGAAGGCATTTCGTTTGGAATGGATAAACTTAAGATAAATACCTCATCTGGTGACTTAACATACATGCTTTCCATTAGTGTATTTGACAGTCCCGTTTCTACAGTTCATACAGCATCTGTCTCAAATTCATTCCCCCTAACAACGCTTTCTACCACATCACCGTCTAATTATGGACCTTTGACAGTTTCTCCTACTTGTGGAGTTATGCAGACTTCTCAGTCGAATACTCCAATGGGTTCCGGTAACACACACACTTCAGCTTATGTTTCTACACCGCCTACAACTACAACTCAAACAAAGTCATTTGCTAGGGCTCCGGGTTCTGAACGCAGCGCGCATCAAAGAAATGCAAATGTAACAGCTACTTCCGTCTCCCTTAGTCTAAACGATTCCTTCCCACCATCGCTTTTATCCTTGGATGTTAATGGTAACACAAATGTTTCCGTAAACGGCGGTGCTAATGACACTACACTTTTCACACCAACAAAGCGTGCTATCGCTTCAGACATTCACAATCCTGATTTTCGTCATGATTCAATCTCAAATCATTTTCGACCTGATAGGTCATGTGAATGGCAAACTTCTGACTCATCTGCAGCTCCTGCACCATCGTCTTCTGCATTTGTGAAGAACAGTACGTTCTCAGTAGCCTCCAACACACTAACAATTACATCCACTAGTGTCAGTAGTTCGATCATCGACAGTCACTCAGCTATGGACTCTGTCCCAGTTGTTACAAACGTATCACAAACGCGCGATCCTATCGGTTCTCTCCACTCTATGCCAATATTATGGTCTGCTTCGAGACCCGATTTGAATCCCAACTCAATAGGTTTCCAACCATCGTTCCAAACACTTAACCAAGTCGTACCAAACTTGAAGGCTAGTGCTGAATCAGCTGACTCATTAATTCAGGCTTCCTTACTCCGAAATGACTTCTCTAATCACTCTGTATCTGATCAATTTCAAGATCAATACTCTACCCAAGGAGCTCAATCTGGTGTCTTGCGTCAAATGGTCACACAAGCGTCTCTCCAGAAATCGAATCCTGTTGGATTATCATATTTACAGTCCGCTCATCAACAAACTCAGATTAGTAATTGCTCTTCAGGTTTAAACATTTCAAACACGCAAAGTATGTTGCCAACATCCTCAACAAATACTCCCCTAAATGCATCTTTCCGGTTCAAGCCTCCAATGTCTGGTACCTCTGCATATTTAGAATCACGATCTACAGCATTAAATGGTTTTCCAAGTGGTTTTTGTTCTCCATCGACTTCTTCAATGCCTTTGAATAATCAATTTTCTTCCGTTTTCCCTATGACTCAACAACAGTCATTCCCGTTACAACAGCAACTTTCTTTAGGCCCAGGTACTATTTCAGCCTTAAATCAACAGACCACAAGTGGATTATCAACTCGTTTGGGTAATTCATCACATCCTATGATTAATCAAACACAATTGTCTATGTGTTCATCTGGTCCAGGTGGATCTTACACTCCTCCTCCTTTTATGACCGGTTATGTTCAACCTAGCATCCAACCTGTGTGTAGTGCTACATCAGTCGTCCATCCAAATACAAACTATACATCTCATTTGCTTAACGGTAAAGACTTTTTTAATTGGTATATTTTAAGCCTTTTGCACGATTAATACTTGACTAAAAGTTTTTGTAGTAGTAGAGTGTTTACAGCAAAATTTTTATGTGACGTTTGCTGAACAACAATTCCGGTGTATATCCTGATTTTAACATTACATAGAACAGTGCATTACAATTGTTCGTTCAGTAGGCTTCAAAATCTACCTTCTTCAAAGTTATAAGTGGTTGTATGTGAACATTTTTCGATGAAAACAACATTGTTATTCATCCGTACAGACAATTAACTAGTGCGTATCAATTATACTTGCTTCTTCAAGTTTTTTTGTTCAGTTGATTAGTACTGTTAACCAGCCTGGCAACATATATGATTTGCAGTGTAAGACGTGTGCTTACTTACTGGATTACACTTCATTTGCTTATCCCGTCATTAAAATCAACATATCTGACTTTCTTTATACATTTCCACTTAATTTAAACTTTTATGTTCTTTTACTTGGGCGTGAATTTGTTTAGTAAGTTAGTGTTTTATCAGTTCTAAGCACAATATACTCTTCTGGTTGTTTTATACCACATTACTGTAGTTGCAAGAAGATTCGTTACTGTGCTAAGATTGTAGCTAATAAATAACATTACGTTGACTCTTGTCCGCGTTAAAAAAACATATGTTGTGTAGCTTTTCAGTCCTTGTGTTATTCTATAGAAACCCAAACTAAAAAATATTCAATTTCTTGAGTGATTTGTCATATTAAAATGAATCGTTCGATAGCTATTCATATGAATTATAGACATCACTTAATATCATTATTATTAGCCGTTGTGTCATAAATTTCTTGGCCTGTTTTCCCACTTTTATTCACCAACCATATCTTTTTCTGGAGATTTTAGTTATGCATTAATCCTACGCTTGTGTTATCTAGTCGGTCAGTTGAGATAAGGACTAGTTTTACATTTCATTTTGCTTGGTTCTTTTCATCGCTACACTAGATTTATAGAATATTACTTTCGGTCAACATTTTCGTTAATATAATGGCTTTTCTTTTCTTGCCATACTTTCAACCTAGGTTTCAGTTCTTCATCCCATATTGGAACAGTGTGTACTCCGACAGTAGGTGCTGGAGTCCCGTTAGGTATTCCATCAAATGCGGCACAAGGTCCTGTTCAAAACCAACCCGTTCCTATACAACCAATCGGTGCTGAACGTCGCCGACAAGCCAACACTCTCACGTCTGTCACTTCTTCGAGTATAGTTTATCCCAATATGTCGAGCAATAATAATCTAGCTGGACCTGTCAACTCAGCAGCTCCGGTTGTAGCCAATCCCCTAGCGACGATGCATCCACAAGCTCCTTCTCCTCAACAGTGTTCCGTTAATTCCAATGCTAATAATTTGTTAATGGCGTTTACGATGAATTGGATGCAGCAGCAGCAGCAGCAGCAACAACAACAACACTCAAACTTAGTTAGTGGTGTTTCTGGGACAGTAAATTCACCAGCTAACTGGCCTCCTCCCATGTGGCCTACTAACAACATAAATAATAACTATCCTGTCACCTGTCCACCCATGAAAGTTCCTCCTTGTAATCCAAATGACATGAACATCTATAACAATTCAGCTATGCTTCCAAACACTTTACCTGCTGTTAATGGAGTGGCAGGACACCAGCATCAGCAATCAATAATGGCCGCAGCTATGGCGGCAATGGCAAATATATATCCTTGGAATAGTGGCGGTGGTAATGGTAGCGGAAATTCCGGTATCTTAAGTGGAATCCCTGGTGTGTCAACAGCTGGCTCAAATCGTTGGGTATGTCCTCAAGTTAGCACTGCATTCCCTGGTGTCAACCCATCGACTGCACAACCGTACTACCAAGAACAATATCCTACATTGAAGCCTAGTGGTGGTAATTAGTTGTTGTTGTTGGTTCTGTTGCCATCGGGAGTTTTCACACCACATACTTAATGTGAAGAGGTAATTTAAAACGTAAACTGCTCTTGACTTTTGGATTGATAACTCCTTACTGTCTGTTCGTTTTCTTTTTCGACTGAATAAAATATGCTTCTTTCCTTGTTTATTCATTTCTACGAAATGTTAATAAATTTAGCAAATCGCAAGGTCGTTCATACTATTATGACGAAAATGATCAGGATTCTTTGTAGTTATGCTCGCTATCAGTATCGATTTTCTACTTGTTCTCTCTTTGCGTCCTGTTTATTTAATGTGTTTAGATTTCAGGGTTGTCTCCCGGTTGCAAAGCAGTCGTTCATATTGTTAGCATGTTTATATATATATATATATATATATATATATATATATATATATATATATATATATTGAAGCCTAAAAACAGCTTTTTGTTCGAAATTGATCAGATTTATTTATACCTGATCTCTCGTTGCACACGATTCTTCTGATAATCCTAAAGTAATCTTGAATGCAGTTGGTTTGTCAGTCTAATTCCTGGTAGAGTTGCAATCATTTGTCCCATCTATTCATTATGTTGTTAATTCTAGTGTGTTTAATTTTCTGCAAGTCAACTTTTTGATGCTGCCATTCTATATAAATAAATTTTCGATTACAATTTTCTTGTGTTGTACTAGTTTTAATTGGAGGCCATTATATTCAAAAATAAACCTCACTTTTATATTGCCTCTATTAAATGCTTGTCTTTCGTACTCACCTGATTCTGCTGTGGTTTGCGTATTATTGTTATAGTTATTATTATTGTTATTATAACTTGAAAAAACTATTATACATGAATGGTATACCTCTGTCTTAGCCACTCTCAAATTGTAGTGAAGTTTTGTTGTTTTTTTCCAGACTGTTACTAATTAACATTCATTCATTTAACTGTAATCAAATCATATCCATGTTACCTTTCTGCTCGTTTCCCTTTACAACAAAACCTCTGAAATCTTTTGTTATAATCTGTAATTTTGATTACTATAACATCTATGTTCTCTCATACTACCAGTGGATAGATTTGATATATATATATATATATATATATATATATATATATATATATATATATATATATATATCGTTTTTTGAGGGAAAAAGTTAACAATCTTTTCAGGCTGTTGCGTTTTTAGCAATTGCCAAAATTTTCTTAGTGAACTTTAGCTTCCTTGTTTGTTTTTCTGTCCTACTACACGGTCAGTTGGTTGACGTTTCCTCGTCAGTGTAATGTACTGTATCATAGATCAAGCATCCTACTATTATTTGTCCAATGTTCTCTCATTCTTAGTGAAAAATATATGGGTTCGTCAAAGTGATTTCCTCTAGAAAGTTTATGCACTGGCCCTCCCACTTTTCTTTATAGTTGTCGTCAGCCAAATTATACTTAAAGTAAATCTCAACACTTTCGTAAGTGTCGATCAGTCCTTTTTAAAATTATACCAAAATCATTATGCTGTCGTCGCATTCCATACAGGGGATATAATTGTTCAGATTGTAGAAGGACCATGTATTCTAATTTCTGCTAATTCATGTTGAGCTGTTTAGGATTACTTTGATCGGTTCTAAAGAATTTCTTTTTAGATTACCAACTCCTTTGTTTTGATGACAATTGTGTAGGAGTCTATAACAATAATACACTTCAAGTTTTCATCCAATAAGGTACAGTTGACTGTATTTTTGGACCACTTGGGAATCTCAATCATGACTTCAAAGTAAAAGTTCGGTTTTTATATTCTAATATGAGATTAGATTTGTTATCCAGCAGTAGGCGCATTACACTGTATGTATCTTAACAGCTTTAGTGTGTAGCTACCTACGTCTAAATAAATCAGCAAAATACATTATCAAGTTACGGATGTCACCATGAAACCAAGCTAACAAACATTGATTTTAGAAGTCGAGTGAGAGACACTAATTGTTAACTGCTTGGAGACGTTGCAAACTAAATTTTTGTAAAAAACAAGTAGTTTTTTTAATTAATGGGGGAATGTACATGTTACACTAATCTACTTTGAGCTAGTTACATGATTCCAACATAACTGTAAAAATAAGACATTTAGCCAGTAGTTCTTGTAACTAACTAACTACGGCTTTTAAGGATCGAAGGCAGGTATTTGTTTGAGTCAATATTCGATGCTATAATAAACGACTGAACATTTTTGGCACATATTTCCAGAGATCTTAATCCACTGCTGGGCGTTTTTGTCTCAAATCTCAAGTACCTCTATGCCTGCTCCAAAACGGCCATGCTCGTGTTGTATTCAGCCAGCAAAAGCAACAGTAGTTAATATCACTATCCACTAACAGTTCTGAATAGCGTGTGTCAGTTTCAAAAAATTAGACACTTCGATAGTCGGCCATGATGGTCGCATTGGCTAGCGGCCTCATTCGGTTTGACGCTCCTGATAAAAAGCTCTCCAGCGAAGAAACTTTTCACGACATAATTAACATAAAGTTGTGCAGTCGTATTCGTAGTTAGTTTTACGCTTAGTAGTATGTAGTGAAGGGTGTTGCTTCAGTAAATAATTACGCCTGTTACCCCCAATAGAACATAGGTCACTGATCAGCATTCTCCAACCCCCTCTGTCCTGGGCCTTCCTTTCTAGTCCTATGCAATTGTTGTCCATTCTTCTCCATTTCTCGGCGTAATGTGTTCTTTTGTTTTCTTCTCCCTCTTTGACCTTGAGAATTCCAAGTGAGAGCTTGTCTTGTGACACAGTTGGTTACTTTCCTCAATGTGTGTCCTATCCACCTCCAGCGCTTCTTCCTCCACTGGGACCTAGTTTGTCCTATCCCATGGCACGTTGTTGCTTACAGTCTCTGGCCAAGTGTTTTGTGTAGACAAGTGTTAATCGACATTTGTATCTTCTGGATGATGGATTTCGTAGTTCGCCATGTTTCCGCCCCATACAATAGAACTGTCTTGACATTTGTATCTAAAATTCTGACTTCGGTGTTGGTTGACAGTTGTTTTGAGTTCCAAGTGTTCTTCAGTTGTAGATATGCTGCTCTTGTTTTGCCGTTCGCGTCTTCACATCTGCATCAGACCCGCCGTGCTCATCAGTGATGCCACTTCAGTAAATAGGGTTATGAAAAATAATGTTCTTAAATATCGGCAGACAACAAACTCGATCGTTAAAAATATGCTAGTTCACAATAATTTCTGTAAAATTCTGAGAGAGATGTTTCAAACTTATGATTGATATAATCATTAAGACGACCAAGTGGAACTATTTAGTATTTGACTGATTTTACCAATCCTTAACTCGAGATTCAATAAGTGAGAAATGATTACTAAAAAGTTCTGTAAACTTACTGAACTTAAGTGAACATTCACTAAGAAGCGCTAGACAAGGTGTCGGGTTTTATATACTATCCTACTAGAAGTCTATCCATGAAGGTTAGCAAATAGTAAAGTGATCTCTATCATCAATCACTCATTAACATAGGAAGCGTTCAATCAAAATAGTATGGTTGACCTCTGATAGATTAGGCCGCCAACCAGCAACATCCATTGAATTTTGCCCTGGCCTTTCTTTTCCCGTTAATCTGTCCCGTGCTCTTTTCCAGTTGTTCGCTAATGCTATTCATAATCTCAATGCCTGTTTAATATTCTCGGCCCCAAATGTTCTGTAATGTAGCAATTGAGTAGGACTTATGAGTGATTATTGAATAACTTTAGAATTTCAATGTTTGAAACGAAAATCTATTTGGAACCTAACTTACCTCCTATCCTCCCTGAAAACAATATACAAGAAATAGATCGAGCAAAGTAGATATTCCTTCTGATCAGTTAATCACTTGATTTGTATTGTTATTTGAGGTTTTAACAAAAACTGTGTTTCACAATTCGTGATGTTATTAGTCAGATTTTAATGTTTGTGATATGCTGACGTTTTGCACACAGTATATATATTTCATTTTAAGTGATTAAAAAAGAAGTATCTATTAATTCAACTGCTCCTGTGGAGCAAGTTATATTGACAGATGTTCTAGGAATTTGTACATTCGGGCTCGTGAGCACCTACCCGTGTGGTTAAGCAAAGGTGTTATCAAAACTGTTAACAGCTCCATCTTAGACCATTTAGTCCAAACAGGACATACAGCAAAAATGGAGCAATCTTTTGCAATAATCTATCGTGTCAACAGCGGTCTACCTATTTCCGTCGGACTGCGAATCCTACAGACGGCTAAAGCAATTGCTATTCGGATCAAAAAGCCAGAGTTTTGTATCCAAAAGAAGTATGTTCAGCCACTCCTTTTACCCTGGTCATCTAACTAATAATCAATCTTATAATGTGGTGACGTAATCTGATTAATGTTCATTTTATGTCCCAAACTTATTATTATTATTATTATTATTATTATTATTATTATTATTAATATTATTGTCTTTACACTTGATAACCACTTTTTGAGGAATTTATTCAATATCCACCCCTGAATTTACTATATTTGACCTAATTATTTTACATATTACGTAATTTCCAATTTGTAATCACAATATTCTCTCTCTCTCTCTTACCCCATGTTGACCATATTTATTCTGATATTTTATCTCACAATTTCATTTCGCTTATAGACTGATTCAAGTTAACACTTCATAATAGTCATCCCAACATTAACGATTTTATTTATATAACAAACAATTCCTGATTCACATATTACAATTTCCAAATGATGTATTTTGCCTTAAATATGGCCAATTTTATGGATTATTAATCTGGATTTATAATTGTAGAACCTGATGAGAAATTATTGAAAACAATATTCGTCGTTCATACAATTGAGTAAATAAACAGTCAATCAGTTTGAGTCTTCAAAATTATTCACTAAACAACAAACAAAAAGATTAAAAAGAAATAATTGTGATTACAATTAAATGAGCTTTTAAAAGTGGCACTACAAATTCATTATGATAAAGTTACCAATATTTTGTTATTTAGATATGGGTTTAGAGTTACTTAATGAATTAATTATTTAGATAACCATAAAAAACCAGGGAGTAATAAGAAACATTCTACATTTCGAGATTCGTTTTTTATCTGATACAGAATAATGATCTACTGATCTCATTAATGGTACCAGTTTGACGTCCGATATGGTACGACTTCGTTACATTCATACATTCTCAGTTGAAATTCTGGACTTAAATTATGCTAAATTGTACCTATTATTAATCATAGAGCATACGCAGTCGACGATGGATATCCTAGTAACTGTGTCCTGGGTTTTCGTTTCCAGTCGTTCCTAATGTTATTCACACTCTCAATGCATGCTTACGATTTTCGGCGCCATCTGTTCTTTGGTCTGCCTCTTCATTTTGGTCTGAGCATTTCAAGTTGGGGTGTGTGTTGTGATGCTGTTTGATGATTTAAGTAAAGTGTGTCCTATCCAACTTCAGCGTCTTTTCCCAATATCCTCGTCATCAGGAAGCTGGTCTGTTCTTTTTCACAGTCGGTTGTTTCTGATTATCTCTGGTCAGTCGGTCTGGAGTATCTTGAATAGACAGCTAATTGGAAACACCTGTGCATCTTCGATGATCGCTATAATAGTCTCGATGATTCGGCTCCGTACAATAGAACTGTCTCGATGTTTATGTTGAGTATTCTGAATTATAAGAATGCTACCATTGTTTCGCCAATCCTTACCGTCACATCCGCATCAGATCACCTTTGTTTGTCAATGTCATTGTCGAGATATGTAAAGAAACCTAACCATCAAGTGTGATTTTGTTGATGATCGCTGTATTGTATTTCAAGATGTCGTTTTTCCATTGTGAATGGCTGAACCTACTGTTGCAGAGACTGCAGCTGCTACACTGACTGTCTTTATGTGCATTATTGTTACTCATGGGACAGAAATGCAAAGTTATCTGTGAAGACCAAACAATCAAGTTATGTTTAAAGTGTCTACTTTGTTCCGTAGTTGCCTTGAGATGTGGGGGTCTCTTATATATTGGGACGATAAAGTGATTGTGACCAGTCAAATGGGATAACGTCCAACTCCCAGATCTTGGCTAAAATATTAGTCAACCTAATCGCCAAAATTGGACCACCATCCATGAAGACCTCTGGAGCCAATCCATCTGGACCATCTGCCATTCCTCGTTTCAGATTAACTATTAGCCTTCTGAACTTCTGCTAGAGTTGGGGGACCTACTTCAATGTCCCATTCACACTGTCTGGGAATGGAGGGTAGTTGTAGAGTAGCTGAAGGCCAGCTAAACTGTTCTCTGAAATGTTCCGCCCATTGTTCTAAACGTCTGGACTGGGAGCAGATGAGAGTATCGTCTTTTTCCGAAATAATCTCACTTACACTTGACTTGTTAATTCCAGTTTCTTTTATTAGTCTGTAGAGCTGTCTTGTGTTCCCTATAACCGCCGCTTTTTCCATCTCTTGCTTTCGTTGCCCACCACTGCTCACAGTCGTTCCTTAGACTTTTGGTTAACCTAGATCTGATTTGTTTTCGCTCTTCATCATGTTCAGAGTCTGATGGGATGAGTTTATCAGAATCCATCAGTGCAATAGATTTTCCAAGCAACATCTGAGTCAGCCTCGTTTTCAGAACTACCTAAGTGTGACCTCAGTTGTTCCTGGGACCTACTTTTGGTTTTCTCGTCACTCAATTCAATTCTAATGGGTCTTTTTAGTGTGGCTTCTCTACGTCCAGTGAGGCGCAAGCTGATGCATGCCCGTATTAGAGCATTGTCGGAGTCCAAGTAGGTATTCTAGCTGGGCATTAAATTCACCTGCTACGAGTACTATGTCTGAACGTTTAGGTTTCTGAAGAAGTTCAGATAGCTTTCTGTAAAATTCATCTTTCACATCATCCGAGCTGCAGTCAGTGGGAACGTAGGCAGAAAGGACAAAAAGACAACGATGTGTATCCCTATCCTTCAGAGCTCTTACGGAGCCTTTTAACCGAAGAGCACATAAACTACTGTTACCGGGGATCCACTCTAACAGTGCTTGTTCCGACCCCATGCTTAGTGCACCTGCCAGTCCACAAGGGCTAGCCATCGGGTCTCCAGATACACGGAGGTGTATCTCGTCGGTTCAGAGACACGGCATACCTCAATTGTACGAGATTCTAGAGTTTTAGCCAAGGAGGCCCGCTGACCGATTTGACATAGGATGCGTACGTTGAAGGCTCCAACGTGTAGTTTGGAGCGAGGTTTCAGTAGACCTGAGACGGTGTTTTGCTCACTAGAATCGTTGGCTATGGTGACACTTGAGAAGGAAGTCAAAAGAGGAAGTTTAGCGTTGAAAGTCGATGTAGGAGGAATAGTAGGAATTGAAGGGGAAGACTGATTATGAATACAATGGTCTCGAGTGCTGTTAGAGGTATGAGGGCGGTTATCACTTCCTGGTTGTTCACACCGTCGAAGGGTTCTTTTGGAGGTACCTGAAAAGTAAATTGGATTAGACGTGGTCTTAGTGACCTGAGAGCATGACCGCAGTGCCCAAGGGACAACTGCTTGATGTCGGTCACACACGACCTTTTCATGAGTAATTTTCGTGTTAGCTCTGTACTTGTTGGGACCTTACCGCCGGAGATGGATATCCGTGGGATAAGGTGAGGTCTGCAATTTTAGGGTCGACCTTTTCTAACCCCACCTTTCCTTATGGGAAGGCAGCATCACTGTTATGCTGGTTGTCTGAAGGAAACACCTTACTGCAGTCCTACATCTGTACAGTCAGCAGCGTGACTTCGCCTTCAGACCTTGGGTTTGTTGCTTTTAGTCTTACCGCTCTTCAACCGACCTGTCTGGCATGGTAGGCCCTGGAGGAACGATTGTTCCAGCCAGTATATCCGTTTTGGTTGATCATGACAGGCAAGCCCGACCGCCATGCTAAGGTAGCAACAACGATCGTGCTGGTACCAGTTGGAAAACATCGGATAGTTGTTACATCTCTATTTGTTACTCCTCAACAGTTCACACACCTATATGTATTCCGGTTACCGCACTACATTTTAACCACTAAAATGAAATTCACTAGTCATTATCTTCAACTTCAATAAACTAATATTTAGTGCGTTATCTATTGTTACCATTCCATATTTTCATCGCTCATAACTTCGTTGATTAATCATTGAAAAGTAGTTGTTTCATCATGGTTTCAAAATCTTTAAATGCATACAGTTGTGATGTCACATAATGTCAGATCTACGACTTCAATATTTCACTGTAAACACAGCAATCTATAACTTAAGACTGTCGCATTTTTCCAAGACTGCTTTTTAAACTGAAGCTAAATTCAAATAATAATTTCGAAATCACCTTTTTTTCATGTAAACAGCATAACAGTGAACGTTTTCAGCAAACAAACAAACCAGTAAAATAGTTAAATAATTCTAAATTGGTCGTTTAACATTCTTATAAATAAATTATACCACTGTTTAATTGTCTACACCATTTTTTCATTTGTTCTAACTTCACTTTTGGACACAAGAAAAATGTTTTGTAGCAACAGTTGTTGTTGTTTAAATTTATTGTGTGCTTGAGTACATATACAAAATCTAATCGTATGAAAATAATCAATATCCCTGTGATTGATTAATCAAACAATATTTTTTGGATGCAACATGTTTGCCTAATATATAAGTATACCCGAATACACACATTGGTAAAATTATTGTTCAATATACTTTTAATGTAATGTAATCAATATTCTTCAGTAGTATGAGTAACTATAATGTCAATTTGAATAACCACAGCTAGTTTTTCACAATCCTTTATTGCGATTTTCTAACACTAATTGATCTCTGTCGTGGTGTAGATAGATAGACAGATATAGAGTTAGTTGCTTAACCAATTGGTTGATGCACAGACAACTAGTCATGTGAATAAATAATTGGTGTTTTACTGTACTTTTTAAACAAATACCTGTAAGACAAAAATCTAAATTAATGATTAACTGCCATTTTAATTTTTTAAAATCAACTATATGCCTGGGATTTATGGTAAGTAATATACATTGTGTTAAAGTCAGTCATCTCACATACAAACACACGCTCTATACAACTATAAGCAGTGAGATATAATTGAAAATTATCAGCATAGTATATTTATCCATAACATTCATTCACTTTACAACTATGAATAAAAAAACAGATTAAGTTTTAAGAAAACTAAGTGGATTGGTATCTTAGATATGCAACGAACAGAATTACCCTACACCAGCTACAAGTTTTACTACTATCATCTGGAATATCGATAAAAATACGACAAAGAGTCGCTTAAAAACTATATTGAAGGAACTTTATAAACACAAATAAATAACATGATACGGGTTACTATCTAAATATTTCCGTTGTGACATTTTTGGCTGTGACACTGAGATGTATGAGTGTGAATTCAGTGGGTAAGGACTACTTCATCAAGGAATGCAGATAAGTATATATATATATATATAATTCGATGACGAAACCACCTATAAATCCTTATCCAGCAGATTTCAAAAAAATAAAGATTACTGACCAAAAGATTCCATGGTTTATTAAAACATTAAAACTGAATTTTACAGATGAAATATTCACTTATCAGGCATTAAAAAATAAATGGATTAGTCAAGGATGTGACTGAAAGTCATACAATGTATGAAATCTATTTCATGCAATTGGTTCCCTTTACGAATTTGAATAAAGCCAAAACAACAATTGAGGTAGAACAATATGAATTCATTATATTTCCTTGTCTCTCATCAGATGCTTACAGTCGTTTATGAGTTAAAATGCAACATCAAGGTGTGATATAATATGAAGCAATAGATATTGATGATGGGTGGAATAACAAAGATTATATATATATATATATATATATATATATATATATATATATATATATATATATATATAATATATATATATATACTGCTCCGGTAAATCTATGAGACTGCGTTTTTTTCCCACCTGATAATTTTGAAAGATTGGGGAGTATCAATGATATTTCCTGTACCAAATTAATCTCGAGCTATTGAAACATTTAGAGCTGTTGCACCTCAGTTACAAATTCTTTAGAATGTGCCCACCCATCTTCTCAATAAAATAAAATTCCATGTAATGATTCAAACTAAGAAAAGTCGTAATATGATTTGAACCAGTATTCTCCACATAATTACGATAATGGCGTGATACTTTAAATTTATGAGGACCAATCGTTAATTGGATTTCACATCAATTAATGTTTTACACCTATCTATCTTTTGAATAAGCGATAATTAACTGTTTGAACTTTATAAAACTAACTTAAGGGGCAGGTATTCTTATTCAAATATACATCAAGTTGATATGAACGCAGTTAAAAGACCGCTTCATCAGCTAATATTTGTTTTAGCCTTAATCAAGTATGAATAACAGATTACCATAAGTAATTTTGAAAATTACTTAAGAAATCTACGAGAGAAACAGCTGATTAATCATCTAGATTAAATGTAGAATGTGACGTAGTAGTTTAATGGAATTAAAAAATACACTAGCCTGTGAGTTTCATCAATTGCAAAAAGAATAATGGTACACACTACCAGTCAATTTTAATAATACGATTTGAACTAATAAAAAACCATTACTGAAGTACGTGTGTTGCAGCCAATAGGATTAGTTTCAAGCTTTAGATGGAATAGATCATATGATTCATAGAGATACGAACTAATGGTCTACATAAAATATGGTTAGCCAGTTTCGAATGCTTGAGCACTTATTTCAATAAAATAAATTTCCCATTTATAACCTTAATATGGGAATGTTTACAATAAAACGATGACAGTGAATACCCTAAACTTATTTTCAATAAAAGCCTAATCGAAAAATAAATCTTAGAGTGTGCCATTAATGTGAAATTTTGTGTTTAAATCAACCTCTTTTTTGAATTTCATTATTCTTATGTTAAAAACTAGTTTTAAGATTGACTAAACGTGACTGAATCATTAAATTTATTATGAATTGTATGATAAATACTGACCTATTGCTGGTCAATAAAAAATTCACTGATAATCCCAAGAATATCCTTAAACAGTGAGATAACACCAAAGAATTAATC